CTTAATTCTTGATTTCTGCTGCTTAATAGACAGCGACATGAGACCCAAACTACACGTATATGACATGGAAAGCCAGTGATTAATCATAAGTAGTTTGTGAATTATGTGTAGTCAAGTCAGAACCAACTTATAGCAACCTTAACAAAGCTTTCAAGGTAAGTGAGATATTAAAAGAGTGGTTTAATGGTTTACATCCCCCCACACACACCCACAAGTTTCCATGGTCAAGCAGGGATTTGAACCCATGTTTCTTGAGCCCAAGTCTATTCACTACACTATTCTAAGTGTCATTAGTCAAGTGTTATGGATTTTCGTGGTGAGATAGTTCCTTCCTCTTTGTGGCAAACAGCAGCTGTGGCACGTATGTGAGTTGTATTAGGAAATCTACAACTATAAAGGTTATGTTGATTCCTCTTATGGCTACTTTTGGGACAGAGATTTTGAAGACAATTTGGGATGCTCTATCTACTGCTCTTGCTCTTTGGCAGATATTTCATGCAGATCTTCTGTTTGCACTTAGTCCAAACTCTGTATTTCCTCCCCTGGTTTTATCACATAGTTCTCAGCTATATGACTACAAATGGTGTATGTGCGTGTGTGCTCGGCGGGGAGGGCAGACCACACCAAACGTGCAATCTTTTGTATATTTACTCAAAGGCAAGCCCCTACAAAGTTCAACTAGATTTGCTTCCAGGTATGCATGCAGCTTTACCTAGAGATAAACCTTACTGAACAAATTGAGACCTATGTTTTAATGGACAGAATTGAACCGTTAATGTCAGAACCACCACAGTGAACACACACACTTGCTCAGTCACAAGCTTATCAAATTGCCAAGAATAAGACCTGTATCTCAACACCATCAATAATTAATTTTCTTTTATTATTTATTTTATTTATTGGATTTCTATCCCACCCATCTAGACCAAAGGTCTACTATGGGCGGTTAACTAAATGTTTAGTTTGTTTCTCATTAGAAAAGTTTCTTCCTCTTCCATGAACAATATACAAACTTGCCTTTATCCTTAAATTTTGCTAAGGATGCAGTGAAGTTCATCTACTGGAGTGTAAATCCTATCGAGCTTAATAAGATTGAGTTTTCTGAATTAAACCAAGGTTCCATTATGTAGCTTTCACTGGGGCTTGCTAGTGAAGTTGTGTGGTTGCAATTTTTGAAATGCTAGTTAAAATAACACAACATAATATATTTAGTTTTTTTTATTTGAAATCCCATTTAAAAAAACTAGCACAATGCATCCCCTCCTCAATACAAAATCAGTGCAAAAACAAGTCTAATTAAAGAACTATGTCTCAAAGCTAAAGATTGAGAAATCCACTTCACCTCTTGAAAACAAGCAGATCACACACCTATTCCAGATAGGATGGAAACTGTAGATTATCTATACTTCCTTGGGTGATAGGAATATGACTTCACTTCCTACATAGAATTCCAATATACATATAAAACTAACTAAAGCAGAAACTGTGGATTTACAAAAAGGAAAATTTAAAATAAGTAGAATGAATGATATCATTCAACACAATCCTCTTTTTAAACCTATTCTTTAAATACAAAATTACTTTGTCCAAAAGTTTAAAATCCATCATGATACATATTCTCATCTCACTGATCTATGCTTTAGTTGTAAATATCAAACACAGATATAATGTCCAGAAATAATGAGAGAGGAAAAGAAAGTGGTGTCTGCTTTACAAAATGCTTGATAAAAACAATAAAAAAACATGCATGAATGGGTAAAAGGCCATCTGGTAGGTTTCAACAAGTAGAGTCCAACATTACCACACTGAATGACTTAACAAGATCCACAACACATGCTACAAAGTCATTATTTTAAAAAAAAGACAAATATCTTATATTCCTGAGATTGAGTACACACACTGATTTACTAGCATGTGCAATTTCCATTCATTTCAACTGAAGGAGCCAACCCATATGCACAAATGGATCAACTGCCTCCAATGAAATGAAAAGGGCAGCAGTCCCTTGTGGAAAGGTGAATTCTATGAAAAAAATATATAAAAAATTCATACGGCATACCTCATTTGATTGGCAGGTACACATTTCTAGTTTTTAGATCAAGTTCCACAGCCTTGGACCAAAGTCACTGAGGTCAACTATACAGCCAAGTCTCACAATTCTACATGTTTACCTAGAAGGGTTAAATATGCTCAGTGTGGACCAAATGATAACAGTGTTATAGGTTATGAAGAGGAAGAAACAGAAAACCCTTGGAGTGAGGACGGAATAAAATGCAGCATCCAGGAAAGGGCATGGAAGCTTGGCTGGAACTGAACAGAAACATTTTGTTGCAACCCTGCTAGTCTTTTCTGATATGTATTGTGTTCAGAAAGAAGACAATGGCCTGCTCAAATACAATAGTTCAGAACAAGTGCTTGCATACAGCTAAATGACTTAACTTCTAACTATATTAAACAAGATTTGATTGGATTCCTGTTTTACCCCACTGCTTCTCTTCATTAGCTTTTGCCTTAATGTGTGTGGAAATGTTGAGAAGGAATTTCTACTTCTATTTTAAAAATCTCGGAATAAATAAAGTTACCCATTCTTTTATAGAATAAGCTTATTTTCTATTGCCATTAAAATAGACCAAGCCAGAAACCCAGGAGAACAACTTATCTGCACATTTAAAACCGCAATCCCAAACACACTGCCTACAGGTTATGCCACACTGCTTGGGGCTTCTGAAAAAAACATGCGGAAGATTTCCCTTTTGGCTAATCCGGTGTTGAAAACAGTATGTTGAATTGACTTAAATTGGAATACTTTGGTATATACCGCAAAACCAAACATACTGACTACGGAACAGAGTTCATGAACTCATTGCAATTTGATTTTGAGGTAGCACCTTGAGGACCACATGGAAGGTTAATAAGGAAAAATCATTAAAACTTTGCCTAAATTAACCTGACTTGGACCTAAGTAGTGTTAATAGCTATGGTAGCCCATAGAAGTCTGCACAATTATTATTAATAACTGAGTAATACTCTTTCTGGGGCTGCAATTTCAATGCTGCCCTCCCCCCCCCCACAACCCTGGCAGTAGTTTTTTAACTATGCTCTCCTATGAATATTTAATTCAGGAATAAGTACCACTATATTCAAATGGGCTTACAGGAAATGTGTTTAGGGTTGCATCCTTAATCCTCTTTGGTTGTTACTACATTTTTCTCTAATGGAAGCTCCTGCAAGGAAAGTAAAGCAATTTCCTCAGCCTTGGGAAAGCCATTCATTAATCCTACCAACATTCAAGGTAAATAATAATAAAAAAGCTGAGTGAATATACATAATCTACGAACGTGTATAGTGGACAGAGCTGTATTTTTTTACTGTTGAGGACTTGCTCATGGTACCACCAGAGGGAAGTCCCTCTTGTGTGCCCACTTGATTAAAGAAAGGGTCTGACATGAAGGTAAGTTCCTGCCTATCACTCTCAGAGAAGGACGCTCGTTCTGCTGTGCTCTGCCTATTTGTTGTTGGTGTCAAGACTGTTTGGGTTACTAACACATTTTGTCCTTCTGACAAATTGGGGATGCTTAAGGAAGCCTTCAAATCAGAACTTGGTACGAGCACCCTTTCCCTTTCTCTCACTACAACATACTTGGAGTCTGGGAGGTCTGGAAAGGCACCAGGAGGCATTTCTAACACATCCTGCAGGTTTGACGCTGGAGCAAGTACCCTCTCTGTCACAACTACATTCTCCTTAAACTGAGGGTCAAGGCTTATCCCTGGGGCTTTTGTTTCATAAGATGTTTCTGTAATGACAACATTGTTGCTGCCAGCTAAAGGGTCATGGACATTCATCATTCGCTGTAGGCCGGGCTTAGAGGTCAAGGTGGCCTCTGTGATGGTCTCCTCTGTCACAGTTCCCGAACCAAAAGGTGCCATGGGGCTGGCTGCCTGGAAGCTAGGGGCAGAAGTATAGATGTGTTCTGAACTCAGAGTGTTCTGTTGATTTACATATTGTACGTCTCCTTTGTTCATTGCCAGACTAGGACTTGCTTGTTGCCGAACTTGAGAGCTGTGCTGGCTGGTTTCCACACTTATGTGTTTGCCCATGCAGATCTCAGCCAGAGTTTTAAATTTATCTCCCAGGTCATCCAAGAAATGGTCGTCAAAGTCATCCTCAATAAAGCTGCAGCAGCCCACAGAGCCACAAGCAGATTCTTTTTCTTCATCCTGAGAGTAAACAAGGAGGCAGTCTTTGATGAGGTGGGCTTCCTCCTCCTCAGCAAAAGTATCGGCTTTCTAAAATGTGGAGGCACAAAAAAAAATGAGTATTTAGATTTCAGAAGGTACAGTTTTCTTTTAAGTCAACCAGCAGTACTATACAAATCCTTTCAAGAACTACATTGCTGTTAACCTCAAATCCTGTGCTTCAATCAAAAGTCATATGGGATTATTCCATTTCAGAAGATCTAAACCAGGGGTGTATGCTGCATATGCTCTCAGGGGCATTTTTGTACCTTCCCGGTTCCTTAACAGCCCCCCAATATCTGTAAAAATTTTTAGGAGGGAAAGCCCCCAATGGCCCCCTGTACCTTCCAGAAGGCAATTTTTTTGATGTTTTAAGGCCACCTCCAGAACCTCTGCTACCCAAAATAATCCCTTTGAAAAAGTTTAAAAAAAAAAAAAAACAGGTTTGGGGCCATTAAAGAGTACAAGGGCTTTTTCAGTTAAAAAAAGTTTATCTAAACTCATCTTTTTATCAGCAAAAATCCAGTGTAAAAACCTTTGCAGTTTGTTACTATGCATTAAATTCTCACAAATCATCTTCATCATCACCGGTCAGTTTGGTCATACCCCTCCCTCTTTGGCCCTCTCCTTTGGAAGTACAGTCCTTCACTGTTTGCAGAACTGAAAATGCCCCTCTACTCTGCTGATATCAGCCACTCCAGATGTGAATCATGGGGTGCTAGGGAGGCGATGTCATTTTGTTTTCTGCCCTGTTGTACCAATCATCCACCTTTTTGCACATTTGTCTCCTTTGACAATTTGTTGGTTTTGTGATCTTTTACATTTACCTCATTATCATTTTCTGTGTATGTGTTAATGGGCATATACTAAATGTGCACATAATCACTATTTTATATAGGACTACAATAAATTCTATGTAGGAGATAGGGCCATGCTTGCAGGGAGAAAGAGTTAAGATAAGTGGAAGGTGATGACAGTTGGGTTGGTAGTGAGAATTTACAGGAACAGGGTGGATGGGTAGAGTCCCTTCACAGCCGTGTTATGGGGAAGCCAATAGTTGGGACAGAAGTGGATTTTCCCAGGAATAGTATACTGTTGCAAGCTTATCACTCTTGCAATGCAGACTACTTGAGAGTGGTTTCATCTCGAATGTGCAATTAAGAGACATTAACTTTACAAAATAGCTGCATCTCATTTGTTGGTATGGACTGATCTAGCTGTCTGCATTTTTGGACTTTCCTTCTTGGGTGTTGATAGCTGTGGGAACTGAAATGATGGGCACCTATCTCCATCCAGGTGTGGACAACTTGAAACTCTCTAGATGTTGTTGACTGCAACTCATTAGCGGTGTAAGCCAGTATACCCAAAGATGAGAGCTTATGGGAACTGTGGTCTAATTAATATCAGAGGACCACAACTTGGAAACACAGGAAGGTGTGTTATACTAAATTAGACCATTGGTTCAACTAGGCCAGCATTGTCAACTCTGACTGGTAGCAGCTCTCCAGGATTTCAAGCAGGTTTTCCAGTTCTATCCGGAGGCACTGGAGATGGAACCTGAGATATTCATCATGCAAAGCAAGCACATTTTCACTGAATTACAGCTTGTCTCAACAGTCTATCCCTGAGGATCCCTGACCTCCATACCGCTGCCATCATACTAGTACTGTGAGAAAACAATGACCCAGAGGAGGCACATATTAATATGCTTATTGGCTTCAGCATTAGCAGATGTGGCAATAATCCTGGTGTCAGAAGATTTTTTAAGGAGAGGACCATTCCTTAACCATCAGCCTAGAATATAAGTAAAGTTACATTCATAGGCAGTACGCCTCTGGTTGACAATCACTGTATTCAAACACCATTACCTTCAAGTACTGCCTGTGAATTTCCAGTAACACATAGCTGGCCACACAGACAAAGAGAATGCTGGACTAGAAATATCTTAATTCTATCCACCAAAGTAATGTTAAGTTATTGTTCTAAACTTTTTAAAAAACATATTTTCTCCTTTTAATTTTTATACTCAGGTGAGAGGAAAAGATAACCTATCCATTTTCATGGTGGGACAGAAGAGGGGGAAAATTCCCCACATTTTAAGGGATGGGGCCCTTAATGAAACCATATTGGTGGGATCTACTGCTGAACTCTTAGTGAATCCTAATGTAACATCATTCCTGAACAACTATTTTCCCACAAAGCCTCCAGAATGATTCTGCAGTAGGATATAGTGCCATTTGAAGTGAGATATTATAGGAAAAATGGGAGACCATGGAACTAACATGTAGAGAGGTATGTAGGTGCTGCAGTTGAGGCGAAATAGCATTTTTTTTTAAAAAAGGGGAAGATACAGATTATGTTGGTTCTGGAAAACGACCTTTTAAAAAAAAAGTATTGAGGATTTCAATCATTTCCTCCTAAAAATCATTTGTATGGCTAGCAAATGGATCAACAGAGCTGAAATGATACTACTTGACTTCATTCTAGATTTGAGAGGAAGAGAAGACACCCCTACAAAACAGCCACAACAGTGAGGTGTGAAGAAGTATAAAGCACCACACAATCAGAAAGGGAAAGCAAATGGATGAAGATAGTGTGTTCTCAAAGAAGGCAGAATCTTACTTCATTGAAGTAATCCCTCAAGAATTCTTCATTCACGGCACCTCCCTTTTCCATGGCAAGGGTTCCTCGGGCACCCATTGTCAAGGTTCCTCCTCCTGTCATGATTCCTCCTCCTGTCATGGTTCCCCCTGCTGCCGCCATGCCGCCTCCTGCTGCCATGCCTCCTGCTCTGCCTCTGTACTCCGCCCCAGAAAGAAGTGCTGCTTGCTCTTCCCACTGCCTGTCAGTTGTCTGAGTGTTGAAGTAATGCTCTTTGAACACAGAGGAAGACCCGCCCCCAGTGGCAGCGCCGCCTCCTGCTCCAAGTCCTGCTCCGGCACCCACGGCTGCTGCAGTACTCCCAACGTTTGAAGCGGAGTTGTCCAATGCTGAGGGAGCGATGAGGTTTAGAATTGCCTAGTACCAAAAGCAACAAATAAAACATAACTTGAAATGTATTTAAGGAGACATGCTGGAGTCATCAAACTTCACAAACAAGCAGCTGGTTGGCTAGGAAGCTAGCCTGATACAAGATCAGTATTTCAAGTAAGTCTTGCTGAGAGAAAAGGAAGAGCAGTTTTGCAATACACCAGAAGGAAAAGAAATATTGGAGCAAATGCCAAAAGGTGTGGCTACTTGTGTTCTTCTCAAGCTTCAGAACAGGGCTTGGAACCTGGCGGCTTCCCAAGTCAATGGAAGTATCTGTTGAGTAAGCAAAACTTCTTGGCTACACTTCCTTCTCACACACTTTAGTATTAGCTGGTCTATAAAAATCCATTTGAAAAATGTTTTGTGCAGTTTGATCATGACTATATATACCTGGAACTAGGAAGGCAATCTTAAGCCTGTCTGCTCAAATGTAAATCTCATTGATTTCAGTGTAATTTACTCCTAAGTAGTGTGTACAGGGCATCACTTGTCTCATTAATTTGAACCAGGCTTATAATCAATATACCACTTTGTAGACACATGCATAACAATGTAACACCCTGCTCCCACAACCTATACTTGTACAACCATTTAATTTAACCTTTCTTTCTAATTTTGCAAATTAACTGCACTGGTAAATTGAGACAGCCAGACACAAAACAAAAACCATGTATTATTTTTCTAAGTGCAATCCTATGAACATCTATTGAGAAATGTCCCAAAATGTTCTAACAGGGATTTACTCTCATTACACAGCTATAGGATTAAAGTAATTTAGACTGAGTAACTTAGCCCATGTCTAGGACAGACTTTTCGGGAGCACTACTGTGAAATCTAATTTGGAAATGACTCCCACTGAATTTACGGAGACTTCCTTGTCTGTAGTCAGTTAAGCAGAAAACATAAATGCCAAGTTGCCAAATGAGGGGGGAAAGCCAGAGTAAAATATAGGATACCTTGTTTTCAGGTGCTGCCCCTTCACTGTTCCAGTTACGCAACATTTCTTCACTGTTATCGGGTATTGCTGTAAAGCCTTTTCCAGTGCCTGATCCAAATCCACATGCCAGCAGCAACAGGGGCACAACTTTGAAGGAACACAGTTTATCAATGATCAACCCAAGACTCAAATACCAGGGGGGAAAAGTTTCAAAAATATTTGCATTTCTTTCTTTCTTTCTTTGAACTTTTAATTTTTATAGCAGTTAAAAAGAAATTATAAAAATAAATAAATGTCACAATATTAGCACATAACCAAAATAACTTTCTATTATCTCTTTCGCAAAACATAAAGTCTTTAACATTTTTACTTCCTTATTTTCCACCAGACATTTATTTTCTTCACAGTCTTAATAATACCTTTCTTATTTCTTATTTTATATCCATATTAACAATCTGCTTTACTTTGTTTTTACTTCTGCTGAAAGCAGTTCTGCTTCTAATGTAAGCCTAAGTCACTTGGTACAGGTTTGGAATCTTCCTTCCATTTCTCTTTAAGATAATTCTTTACTTTCCCCCACTGAGATTCATGCTCTGTTCTACTCTTTCCTTTCATTATTTGCACTTCTGAAAGCAAAGTTTATTTCTAACTAGATTAGAAAACCAGAAGCTCCGTAATCCATTCAAAATACTGAATTGTTCTAAAGAAATAATGGCCATTTAACACAAACATTGCATTCCTAGAAACAGGCTCAGTACTGATCGACACTTTTTGATAGCGCAATACCTTCTAACATGCCAAGAAGGTGAGAGGAACCAAAAGCAAGGCATAACAACTCTATGCAATTTCCTTTCTTCCAAGCATACTTTCTATAAAGTACTGGCTTTGAAAAAGTGGGATTACCCACAAAAGCTTGCATATTGTATGTTTTTTCCCAATTTTTTTTTATTAGTAGCCTAAAAAGATATTGCCTATTCTTGCATTTCTATTTTGTACTGGCCACATAGTTCTCCCCTTTTAGTTCAATGAAATGATGAGGATACCAAGAAAGAGCCATGGCCCACCCCATGAACCAACAAGCAGGCACATGGGCTCTCAACACCAGTGGAGTAGGACTGCAACTACTAGGAAATATACTTTCTCTCAACACCAGTGGAGCAGGACTGCAACTACTAGGAAATATACTTCTTACTTTAATCTGACCCCAAGTGGCTAGACCTAGTGGGTTTACTACATTATACCGCAATTCCCAAATGGAGGACTTGGGTTTTCTGCATCACCCCTGCTTCCCTAGCCAAGCAGAAGCACATCTGTTTAGAAGAAAACCCAAATGGAGAGGAGGTGTGTGTGTGTGTGTGTGTGTGTATGCATGCGTGCATAGCCTCTGCCCCTTTGTTTCAAGAATTGGAGTATGTAATCCAACCCACAACTGCCTCAGCCATAACTTTAAAACAAAAACGTTACTGCTTCCTACCACAAGACAGATGTATCTGATGAAATTCATCTTGCCAATAACTACATTTAAGAGTAACCTCTTGGCAAACCCTATTTTGCCACGAACGTTTGGACCTTTGATACTTGCACTGAAGAAGTGGGATTTACCCACAAAGGTTGCATATTGTACAATTTTTCATTAATGGCCTATAAAAGTATCACCTATTCTTGCATTTCTATTCTATAAAGCAGGTTTCACCCAAGTAATACTATGCATATTCCATAATAGTATCATATATACACATCATAATTAGGCATAAAATTAACCGTCTTGAAAACCCTAAGCTTTCATTTCAATAACTACTGTATTTTTTGCTCCATAAGACACACTTTTCCCTTCAAAAAAAAGTGAGGTAAAAAGTCTCTGCGTCTTGTGAAGAAAATACATTGCGTTTGGTTCCCGTCTAGTGGTCAGTTTGATAATTACTCATTTTACAACGTTGATCTGGAAGGATGCTGCCTCAAGCTTGCTGGGACTAGGCAAAATGGTGGTGACTTAACAGACCCCCCAGTACTGTTCTCATTAGTAGCACTGATACTACAGGGCATCCGTACCAGCAGAGAGAGAGAGAGGGGGGGAAAGAGTTCCATTGAGGATGGGAGAAGACTCATCCAGGTACCACAAATAACATAATACAGAGGAATTCCTGACTGGATTGCTGACTGGTAACATTAAGGGGCACATGAGGCACTGTTGGTGAAAAGTAGGATTTGTTTCAGTTGCTCACTGAGTGAAAGGCTTTTACTTCTTTTGAGATTTGTCATACTATTCAAAGCAACCCATTCTACTGGTATCTTAAACCTGAATTTTTGATACTTTACACTGATGTATTGCACCTTGGGGTGTCTACTTCACTCCCCTAATGGTGAACATAATTTAAAATGTGTTATATAAAGTAATGGATTTCCTCACGTGGGACCACTCTGCCTATAGAGATACCATACAACTTTATTACACTAGAGTGGTGCCCCGCATAGCGAGCACCTCGGTTGACGACGAATCCGCATAGCGATGTGGATTTTGCAATCGCAAAAGCGAGCACATTGCGATGTTTTTAATGGGCAAACATCGCATTGCGATAATCGGTAAGCTTTTCGCTTACCGATTTCCGCATTGTGATGTTTTTTAAACGGCTAATTGGCGGTTCCAAAATGGCCCCCGGAAAAAAATGGCCCCCGCAGTGTTTTCGCGCCCTTTCCTCACTTATCGGGCAGCGAAAATGGCGGCCGGATGGAGGATTTCCGCATAGCGGTGAGGTTTTTCCCCATAGGAACGCATTAAACGTGTTTTAATGCGTTCCTATGGTTTTTTTTGTCCTGCATAGCAACGAATCCGGATAGCGATGATTTTTTTGGAATGGATTATCATCGCTATGTGGGGCACCACTGTATTTGGTTCAGAATATTTTTCCCTGTTTTCCTCCTCTAAAAATTAGCAGCGTCTTATGCTGAGGTGCATCTTATGGAGCGAAAAATACCGTAAATAGACAGGAGATATTTTGGTGCTCAAGGCTTGAAAGTATGCTGCCAAATATGCAATGACAAAATATTCTTAAATCTAATTAGCTCCACCTAGAGTGCACTCATTTAATAAATTGACCTTATAAGTGTTGAGTTGTCAATTGAGCCAATAGATCAACATCTGAATTTAAGCCTTCTAAGTGACAGGCACACCAATGTTTAGCAGTCAAAGGACAGGCTTTTAGTGCCTTATATGGCCCCTTGTTTCTTCTCTTCTTTAGTGGAAGCAGAATTGTGTCAGATATGCAAATACAGGAAAACAATCTGCACATAATCTGCAAACTTCAGTTCTTTTGGGGACAATATTTTGATGACTTTTTCACATGCACAGCATGTACAGTCCTGATCCTATCTTATTACTCCCAGTTCAGAGAGATTCCTGGCTGCCCACCTGACTTTTCTGTCAAGGTGCTAGATTGTGTTTTGCTGAATAAGAACACTGACAGGAGGCAATGAGAGCCCATGCTTTAAGAAGATAAGAACCAAAGAAAAATATAATGTTTTATCTGCTGATCCTTATGTTTTCTCCTGCATCATCTGCAAAAAGTCTGGGAAGGGAAGTACTCTTAGATCATCTTCATTTCAGTGGGAGAGAATTCAGAAGGGACCTGGCTATGGTTCGATCAGTGCCCAGTGGCTATTTCTTAAACAAAGTGTAACATGGCCAAGTGCAACAGAAAGAACAGTTGTGTTGGAGCCTTATGCAATGCAAATCATCTATTATCAAAAGTTACTGTTTTGGACCAGAATCCCCAGTGATGCCATGCTTGCTGGGGAATTCCATTAGCCATAGCCAAACAGCCCCAACCCCCACTTTTCCAAGCTCTGCTTGCGGTCCTTAGAGGGGGAGGGAAGACAAGTTACTTACGCAGTAGCAACAACAATGCCAGGATAATCAGTGCAATTGCTGCAGGCCCTAGCATAACGGTGGAGCTCACAAGTTTTCCTTGGCAACCAGCACCATCTATACATTCACAGACTTCTAGTTTCAGGACCTGCCGATCAGGACATGCCAAGCCTTGGTTGTCTTTCACTATGACTGGAATTTCATATATGCCCGGCTTCACATCTTGTGGTACGAGCTGTGCTCTGTTTCCTTCACAGGAAAATAAAAGATGACAAGAGTAAAGCAGTACAATACAAGGGGCCAAAAGCAGACATACAGTTTTAGTCCACAAGAATGATCAGGGCAACGTTGTTTATGTTATCAATTTGATTTTCCAATGAACCAAGTCATATTAAGAGGTAAAGGTTTTAAGTTATGTGGTTGTTATGAAACATTTGAAAATGGCGTATTTATTAATATGCAAATGATATTTTCAATAGACTAGGGAATACAACCTGACCATATTCTGAATAAATTTTCTCAGCTACATAGCGGCTGAAATCAATTGCAAGTTGCAACTAGAATAGACCCATTGAATCAAATGAACTTGCAGAGAAGATGACTCACCAAATCCTCACAGATTCAATGGGCCTGCTCTAGTTGCAACCTATTACTAGACTTTAGTCATTAAGTGTAGTGTAGTTTTAGGATACCCTCCACATTTGGTTATCTCAATCACATATCAAACACTATTTACATCTGGTGCCCCCAATGGGTTGAAACACTATCCTAAGCCTTTTTAGCCATCCCTTAAACTATCCCACTTTGTGGTTGCAATGGACTCTGACTTCAGAAATCCAGGTTCAAGTCTCCAATAAGCTATGAAGCTTACTGGTGTGGTCTTGGGACACTCGTTTTTTTTCTTAACTTACCCTAGATACAGTAACTTCAAGACCAACTTTCCGGTTAGTGTTTGGAGGAGAGACAGACTCCTATTATACCAGCCTTTCATTAATAACCCACCATTGGGACAAGTATGATGTGTGAAGATACGGGCGATACCTTTCTTGACTATAGCTCTCTTGCTGTGGAATGTCTTCCCTGCTGAGAGGCCGAACGGCCACCAACATTGCCTTTATTTTGCCACCCAATTATAACCTGGTTGTCCACCCAAGCATTTGGCATCTAATGAGATCCTGGCTTGGTTTCCAGTCCTTCAGTTTGCTGGTTTTTGTTTTGTCTGAGCTCTTAACTTGTTTCACAAGGTTTTTAATAAAGAGGAGAAGAAGAGTAAAGTATGCCCAGATATAAATATGAAGGATAAATGCATAACCAATGAATAAATCCTTCTGTTGATGTATGCTTGCAAAAAGGGGGGGTTGTGTAAGTCTTGGTGGCAAGCTGTGAGCTGCAGATTGTGTTCCTGAACACATGCCTGATTGTGTGAGTGTCATATTATGTCCTTTGATGACAATCCTATCAGCTTTCCTTCTGTCAGACCAGACAGGCACCTGGTTAGGCTGGTTTAGAAAGTTCCTACAGAGCTCTTATCTGCCAAAAATTGAAGCTGCCTCTGAAGTGAAAGACCAGAAATAAACTTAGGAAGAAAGAGGAGGTGCTATTCCAGACTCTGAAAAATGTGCCACACTAACAATTACTTACCATTCACCTGGCCAATCATCCATTTGCCTGACATCCTTTCAGGCTCATCAAGAATGAAAGTGAAAGGACCACCATTTGGATGAGCATCTCGATCTTCAGCAGTGATGTTAATGAACTTGGCATCAGTACAAACACTCATGTCCCGATTCACTAGAGTTGGACAGTTATCATTATGATCCTCCACTCGAATAACAATGGTACCTGTAGCTGTCTGTGAAGGAACATCTGCAAAATATCCAAGGTATGACATTTCAGCACAAGAGAGTACAACTATTTTAGCACAAGAGAGTACAACTTTTTCCCCCTGTTGAAACATTTATTTACCTTCTTGGGTAGACAGAAGGTTTTCATCTGAATGTAGTGTTTTCTTGCTGGATGTTTGCAACCTACAGTCAGAATTAATATTAAAGGTGCTCCATCCTCATGAACACGTTGCTTTGGTGGTGGTACAGACTGTTGCTACACTATTACTCTTCTTCAAGAATGGGCAAAAAGCAGCTCTCTAGAAGTCTTTGGGCTACAATTACTAGCATTCCCCATCACTGGCCACAAGGTCTATAGCCCAGGGGAGCTGAAGTTCAATAACAGGTGGAGGGCTCCATTTTGCTCACCTCTGCTTTAACCATTTGGGCTTTGTGTACCTCAAATGGTGTATCAGTGAGAGCTAATTAAAGTTACTGTTTACAACTGACAATGTTGTATTTGTGGTGGCCATGCTGACTGGGGGGGACTCTGGATACCATAGTCCAGAAGAGCAACTTCTCCAAGCCCTGACTACATCTCTTCAATGCCAGTGATGCATCCTACAGAAATAAATGGACATGGTCTATACTAGACATTTTACCAAGAAGGGCCAGTGACCCTGGTAGTAAAGATACCCAGAAGCACAAACCCTCCCTCTCTGGAGGTCTCACTTGTGCTATGGATAGGAAAAGTAAGAAACAATGCAACACGCCTACTTTTTAGTACCTTCATCATATTAGAATTGAACTAAAAGAAGACCCTGCCTTTTCCCTCAAGCACTATTTATTTATTTATTATTTGTTAAATTAACATATTCATATGCTTTCTATCTTGAATAATTTGATTACTGATGTTTATAACATTGTTATTTTTATAATGTTCTATTATACACGTTGGAAGCCGCCCAGAGTAATCAACTGACTAGATGGGCGGGGTATAAATGCAATAAATAGATAGATAAAATAGAGCAGTAGTTCCTGTCCTTGGGTCCCCATGTGTTCTTGGACTAAAACTTCCAGAAACCTGCACCACTGTGCTGCTCAGGATATCTGGGAGTTGTAGTCCAAGAACATTTGGGGACCCAAGGTTGAGAATCAGTGTCTTAAAAGATCCAAGGTAGCTTACAGTATTAAAAGAACAAAGTTAAAAGCAAAATAATAAATAATTACAATATAAAAAAAATAACAAATATCATAGTAGAACTCATAATAAGAATGTTTCAGAATTTGAGGGAGACAAGCCAACTGATTCCAATCACAAGTGACAGCTGGCTAAAACAAGTCACGTGCCTCCTTCAATACTAACAAGTATTATTTGGCATACGCTGTTATGAACTGCAATACATTAACAATTTCAAGAGTTGCCATTGGCCTAAAAATGCTCAAGAATCTTCTAGCACCTCAAAGATGAAAAAGTTTTATTTGGCATAAGCTTCCATGACCTGCAGCCTGATTCATCAGGTGGTGCCATAAGACTGCTTAGCCAGCTAGCCTATTGCTAGTCACTATTGACTCAATGGGTTTATATAAGTGTTGACTTACCATTCAGCCATTGAGTCACTGGATTAGCATAGATCAGCAACTGGATACTGGCCTTAGTTATTTTTCCTGCAACAGACCTACACAGCTACCCCTTCAGAAAATGAGTTGTTTATAACCGTTGCCAGTATTTGTTTACTGGTCTTTGCTGCCCGGCTAATGAACATACTGCCTAGATGTTGATACCACTCCCTAAAACTAGCTTGGGGTCTTAACAATGAGCAAATACATGCCAGGCATGAATGCAATGCTGGCAAATGTCTATAAAGGAAAAAAAAGGCAAATGGCATCCTTCACTTACCATTACTTATGGCCAAAATGGTTGCAGTGTAAGTACCATTGACAACATATCGCGATTCATAGTCAGGCACTTTTACCAGCTTGATTTCAGCTGTTTTTGAGTCTATTATGAACCAGTTTCCAGGATCTTGATTTTTTGCATACCTGTGTAAGTTTTAAGTGTATGTTAGAATATTCATGATAACCAATACAGAAAAGACACTTTGATTCAGAATTACAGAAGCCTAGCTATTTATTTTATTTATATGTTTATTTATATTAGTTATATGCTATCTTTCCCCCCAAAGGGGACCCAGGGTGCTTACAAAATCTAAAACTATATGACAATTAATAGTTCTAAAATGCCATATAAATACCATGGTAAAAACCAATTAAACATATATCAAAATTTAAACCAAGATGAAAAACAATTTAAAATATTTTAAACACTTTAAATTTTCTCAGTTTAATAAACAAAACATTCCTGATATACTTATTGCTTAAAAATTTGCCTGAAGAGGAAGGTCTTTGCCTGATAATGCACATTTCAAAGCCTGGGAGCAACCACTGAGAAGGCCCTCTCTCATCTGAAATGTGTGCTAACACTCTATAAGAGAAGAGTTCATGCATCCTTTTCTGAAGACATTAGGCAAAGCTCTTGAAGTCATCTGGAAGATCCACATTGTCATGTGTTTTCAAAGTAAATGGGGTGTTCTGCTTATATAGTGCCCCATAGCGATTAAGGCACTATCTAGGCAGTTTATAATTTAATTATCCAGGCTACACATTGCCCCACACCCAGCAAGCTGTGTACTCATTTTACTGACCTCAGAAGCATGGAAGGCTGAATCAGCCTTGAGCCCATTACATGGGATTGAACTCAGGTTACGAACTGAGTCTTGGCTGCAGTACTGCAGTTCAAACACTGTGCCATAAGGCTCTTATAAAGTAAGACGGTTAAGTCATGTCTGTGAATTCTTCACCATACATATCATAAAGGGTTCACATGACTGGACAGGAGCAGTATAGCCCTTTTACGTACATAAATAATTACATATTCTAGTTACTGTGGTTTCGGAGTGGCACTGCAATCCAGAGGTACGAAAAACAAAGCACTGGCATGATCAAGCCACTACAGTGATGCCTCGCAAGATGAAAATAATTCGTACTGCAAGTTGTTTCGTCTTGCGAAAATTTCATGTTGCAATGCGTGGTTTCCCATAGGAATGCATTGAAATTTAATTAATGTGTTCCTATTTGTCTTGCAAAGCATGGTCATAGAAAAATTTGTCTTGCGAGTCACAAAAAAATGCAAAACACTTTCATCTTGCGAGTTTTTTGTTGTGTGAGGCATTCATCTTGCGAGGCATCACTGTAATTACATCCAATCCCAAGCTGCATCCCATGTGCACCAAGTTTTTTTAGCACAGAAAAAAAGGCAATCATAGGGAATCATGACAAATTCATGCATAATTATAGGTATTGTGGGAAAAGTGGAACTGAGAAGATTCTTTCTGTCTTACATGACTCTCCACTGAACTGAATCAAGATGCATAAATGGGAGTACTTCATGCTGTCAGTGCATAGGTAAACTATGGAGTCAGCTAATATAAGCTACTGTGGTAATGCCCATCCCCATTCCTAGACAGTTTTAAAGAGGATTATAAAAAATCATGGAAGAAAAAAAGCCCAAAGGAATGTTACAGAAACTTACCTGATGTTTTCTGCTATTTTTCCAGTGTCTTCATCATAAGCTTGATAACGTCCAATAACCTGGTTCACTTTCATTGTTTCACTTCCGTTAATCACCATTGCTTGAGGCTTAAACACAGGGCCTTCCCTCACATTTTCCACACTGATTTTAACTGGAATTGGGTTTGCTTTGTAGCCCTGATTAATAATTGATTGGTGATATGCTGCTTTGTTAGAAACAACAATATTCAAGTCAATGTTCTTCAATTCTTCATAATTAATTTGCTGCAGAGAGAATAGCAAAGTTCAGAATATGAATTTTAATATGTCTATCGTTAACTTCCAAACTGAAGAATGGCTAAATACTCAGTGAAAGACCTTCCTTGTTAAACAGGGCAAGAACTAATCCAGACAAATCCATGACTTGACTCTCCTAGCAGAGGGCTTTACTCTGCCTTTGTATTGACTACACCTGGGAACCAGTGACTCTCCAGATCAGTATTTCCCAACCTTGAGTTCCCAGAAATTCTTGGATTAAAACTCTCAATAGCCTTCACCATTAGCTGTGATGGACAGGATTTCTGGTAATTGTAGTCCAAAAATATCTGGGGATGCAAGGTTGGACTCCATCACTCCTACTCCACCTAGTCAAAGGTGAGGAATCATGGGAATGGCACTTCATCAACATCTGGAATGCAACAGCTGTACCTTATCTCTGCCCTAGTAATGGGACATCAGTTGCAATGGGCACTCCCAAGCCAACTACACCAGAGCACAGGTTGCTGTGCTCTGAAGATGCCGGCTACAGAGACGGGAGAAACGTCAGGAAGAACAACCTTCAGAACATGGCCAAAGAGCCCGAAAAACCCAGAACAACCAACAACCAGGACATCAGTTGTTTTGGTTGTATGTTCACTTTATTATAAAAAGTGTTTAATCTGTTTATCTTCTGTTTTGTATGCTTTCAAATATCCTTGACATTGCATCTCTTGTTTGTCTAGATCTTGGACACTAAAAGGAACTGTGCAAGAGCCTTTTATGTTTCCGACCAGATTGTTCACAATTGCCATGGAAGACCAACAAGGATCTTGTAAGTGCGTTCTCTTCTTCTACACAAAACATTCAATTCTCTGCCCTTAGGCAGTGATCAAGTTCCTCCTCTATTCAATACAGTAGTGCCCCGCATTGCGACGTTAATCTGTTCCAGGATTAATGTCGCTATCCGGAAACATCACTATCTGAAGCGAAAAACCTCATAGGAACGCATTAAACTCTGTTTAATGCGTTCCTATGGGGGGAAAACTCACCGGTAAGCGAAGATTCCCCATTCGGCCGCAATTTTTGCTGCCTCGGTAAGTGAGGGCAGGGCGCGGAAATGCTGTGGGAGGCCATTTTGTGGATGCGGTGGCCATTTTGGAACTGCCGATCAGCTGTTCTAAAAACATTGCAATGCGATAATCGGTACGCGAAACGCTTACCAATCATCGCAATGCAATGTTTAGCCTATCTAAACATTGCAATGCGATCGTAAAAATGATCGCAAAAGCCGCATCGCTATGCGGATTTGTCATTAAACGATGCGCTCGTTAAGCGAGGCACCACTGTATAACATCAAAGGTTGCCATAGCAGGCGCTATCTCACGCATCAAACTTAGTTTAATGCATTCGTATGGGGCCCTAAACTCACCGTTCAGCGAAGATCCTCCATAGCGCCGCCATTTTCGCACCCTTGGTAAGCGAGGGCAGGGCGCGAAAATGGTTGTGGTGGCCATTTTGGGCATCCAGCGGTCATTTTGGAACTGCCAAACAGCTGTTAAAAAAACATCGCAATGCGACGATCAGTAAGCGAAACGCTTACTGATCGTCGCAATGCGATGTTTAGCCTATCTAAACATTGCAATGCGGTCGCTTTTGCAATCGCAAATGCGAAGTCGCTATGCGGATTTGTCGTTAAACGGTGCGCTCGTTAAGCGAGGCACCACTGTATAACATCAAAGGTTGCCATAGCAGGCGCTATCTCACGCATCAAACTTAGTTTAATGCATTCGTATGGGGCCCTAAACTCACCGTTCAGCGAAGATCCTCCATAGCGCCGCCATTTTCGCACCCTTGGTAAGCGAGGGCAGGGCGCGAAAATGGTTGTGGTGGCCATTTTGGGCATCCAGCGGTCATTTTGGAACTGCCAAACAGCTGTTAAAAAAACATCGCAATGCGACGATCAGTAAGCGAAACGCTTACTGATCGTCGCAATGCGATGTTTAGCCTATCTAAACATTGCAATGCGGTCGCTTTTGCAATCGCAAATGCGAAGTCGCTATGCGGATTTGTCGTTAAACGGTGCGCTCGTTAAGCGAGGCACCACTGTAT